GTTCTTCCTCCGATATTTTATAGCGGTGTGAGGGAGGCATCTATATATAAGTGAAACAAACAAGACGAAGAATATAAGAACGTACAAAGGAATAGTGAAAGAAGACAAATAACGGAAGACAATGTAAAGTAGAAAGAAAAATTAATCACAACTACATATACAAAAAAATTTCAAAATAACATAAGTTAACTTGAAAAGTATACTATTAAACTAATGCAGAATATTATGAAGTTCAAAATTTAAAATTCTGAACACTTTAGATTTGTATCAGTTTGTTAGATGTATATAAACATGAAATTATCTCAACATGGGATATGTCCAGAGATATATATTCAGATGTTTAACTAATGACCAGCAACAACAATTGCACATAAAGAAACAAATTATTTTCTAGTACAAATTACTTTAGTGGAGTTTTAGTAGCTTTGGTTTTAATATTTATGCTTCATTTATGGGAAGACACGATAACACAACAATATTCGACAGTTGCTTGAAATTTTGTGCAGAATATGAAAAAGTACCCCATCATTGAATGAAAATAGTTTTAATGTTAACTCATTATTCTCCCAATGAATCTAGCACACAAAGAATGACAACGCCTATGTCATTTCAGTAAGAAAATGGGTAAAGATAATTGGTAAATCATGTTTTCCGCCAAGTCTTTTGTCATTTGGGCCACTTCTGATGTAATAATCAATGTATCAATAAAAAAGGCTATCCCATATAAACTAAGCACTGAAAATAGCTAAATACATATTTTATCTACGGTAAGAGGCTAATGTAATCCAAACTATGAACGTGAGTTCGCAAACTTTAAAGAACGAAACTGTACCTGATGAATAATCTCTGGAGTTAGTTTGAATGTTACTCAGTTAGACTGGAAATACAACAAATATAGACATGACAATTAGGTTGCATGTTGAAAAAATGAAAGACAAGTAATCATAGGGCTCTTTAGGAGCTTACAATTTAAGTTACAGTAAACAATCTGGTTGAATTGACAAATATGAGATTAAACACCTGTTTGGCATGACTTTTGAAAGGTCAAAAGGAGTTTTTGAGACATAAAAGCGGCTTTTGGATCCATTTCGCCAATTATATGGAAGTATTTTTGCCAGTTAGAGGAGGTTTTAAAAGAAGCTGGTCCAATATAGCTAAGCACTTTTGGAATATGGACCGCTTTTAAAAATTAGTTTTCAAATAAAAATTAAGATAATTTCTTTCAAAAAGGCCAAACGGGCCCTAAGAAACTTTTTCGTGTACTCATAAACCACCTGTGAATCTTATCATGATTTCGACTTGGATATCATAGTTGACATCACCTGATGAAAATGTACACCAACATCAAAAAATGTGGACTCGTGCAGCAAAATAACTACAAACGAATTCTCAATTTAGGAGTACAAGATAATTTCAAACTCTAATTACAACTTTACCAATTCATTTACATTTTCTACATGGCTAATGAAGAAAGATTATGCCAATGATAAACAAATTTCCTAATATATAATTTATAGATGATTTAGATACATAATCAACTTCACGAAAACAATTATTTATTACTTCAACAAACAATTTTTAGAAGAAATCATAATAATGACCCAAACAGTTCAATAGTAGACAACGTTCAGTCAAAATACATACAAATTAATCCAGAATCATTAAAAAATTGCCCATAAAAAATGGATATCATACCACTGATGCACAAGATTTCATCGACACCCTTTGACTTCAACTCGTCAGCCATTTCCATAAACCCAAGCACATGCTTCATGCTGCAAAACCCACCCAAACCATATTAAAAAAAAATGCACTAAACTAAAACCCAAGCACTTGTATAATCCGCCCAAAATTGACCCAATCAAAAAACAAATACTTCAAAAATTAATATAAAAAATTGCCGAGCCATTTAGCCTAGCTGCAGATTATTACAGATCGAAAATAACCTGCAAGTGGGAGTGAAAGCACCAGGAATGGCAAAATGAAGCAAAAAAAAAAAAATTTTATTACCAAAAATTTTCACCTTTAATACCCTGCATCCTCCGTCGCTGCAAGCAAAACCAATCTACTTCTCCAGTGAAACACGACCTGTGGCAGCGATAATGGAGAGGAAAAAATTTTCTGTGATTTTACAGCGTAATATTGCGCTTGAAATGAAGGAAATGGGTGAAATGAGTTAGGGTTTCAAAAGGGGACTCAAGTAGCGCGAAAGAGAGAGAGAGAGAGAGAGAGAGACTACAGAGAGAGAGTGAGATTTTACTAGGGGTGTCAACGAGCCGAGCCCGAGCCAGAAAAAAAAAGCTCGAGTCGAGCCCGAGCTTTTTTTGGCTCGAGCCGAGCTGAGCCCGACCAAAAAAAATGAGGCTCGGCCCGAGCTTTTGGCTCCAGCCTTAACGGGCCCAGCCAAGCCCGGGCCCAGTCGGCTCGGATTTTTTGGTTGTTTTTTTTTTTTTTCTGAGCTACAGGCATGCAGCTTGCAACCTACCTGCAACAGGCAGGTTGCAAGCAAGCTGCCTGCAGCAGCTTACAGCAAGCTGCTGCCTGCCTGCAAG